ATTAGCCAGAAGGTAATTATTTTGCCGACTAAATAAAATGATGAAGAATAGCCAGAACACAACCTGCTGACCTGAATCTTCTCAGCCTTTTTCCCTCTTCTGCCACTGCTCATGATCAAGTTTTCTTCACATCTTAATGGCTCTGTTTGAATCTGTTAGTGCCTCTCAAAGTGGTATGAGTGCAAGAGACTCGCTTAGTATGTTCAAGTTGCTTATTTGTCAACAGTCATACTCTGTCTCCCCTGTGCTGGAAATGGGTCTTGAAATACAATTTGGCTTTGTTTTTTTCTTTGTTGCTACAGATACAAAGGCTTTAAAGGCAACTGCTCGATTTCCTTCATTGAGCAGTTCAGAGCCCTCCACCAGTGCAATAAGTACTGTGAGATGCTGGGTCTGAAATCTCTCCGATTCACTCATCAAAAACAGAGGAAACCAACGCCCATGAAGAGCAAAACTCTACCAAACTCACCAACTATTAAAAAAACAGTGTGCAAGAAAATGAGAGAACCTAGGGACTTCACAACTTCAGAGCACTGAGTAGCACTGTCCCATCGTATGGAAACTCCTAGTGGGGATATGTAATAGTGGTAGGCACCAATGTTCTTACCAGAGAATAACATTTGGGGATATTGTCATGAAGTCATCCTAATGCTGATGCCAGCAACAAAGAAAGGAGATGATTCTGTGATGTAGAAACCAGAGATTTAACACGAAAGCAAGATTTTGAAGATAAACTCAGCCACCTGCCTGGATTATTTTACAACTGTTCTATGCACTGGTATCTGTATATTTTGAGTTTTGGCCATTGAATGAGTCTCTGGAGAACATCTTCCCTTCTGTTTGTGTGTGCATGTGAACCTGTGGTTCAGCTGCAATGTAAACAACAAAATGTTTAAGATGCCACTTAGTAAAAATTTTGCACAGTATTGTTCGGACTGCTTTCTAAAAGTTTTTGTCTCTCCCAAATCTTTGCATGTTGTACCACAACTGTATTACTCTTTTCATAATAATGTTTTTTCCCACTTACATGTCTTCCAATACAAGATAAAACTGATTCATGATTGGACATCTGTGCATTCTCCACAAGAAGATTTCTAGGATCTTTAACATTCTCACAATGTGATGTCATCAGCTCAAAATTCAGTAACGTGTGTGATTCTCCATAGCATTCCATGCTTCCCAAGAAAGCTTCCTTGACTCTACAGTATCCCTGTGGCACAGTACTGGATGTGTACCAGTCCTATTGTAAGATAGAGGCTCAGAGTCTGCATGTTGCCGAACAGCTAGGATGTGAAATAAGCCATTGGAGATGGAGGGTATTTCAATATCTTGCAACATAAAGAATAAGTCTGATGGCTTTTCTGAATCGTGTGGAGTTGTTTTTAAAGGAGCATGGGAGGTATCTCGGGACAGTGCATGACTGATAAAGAGTTCTGATTTATCCTCATACCATTTATCCAGCGTACCAGCAAAAGGCAGTGTGCCTCCAGATTTGGCAGATTTGCTGCCAAAGGAGGGAACTATGCTTGTCAGAAACTGCAGCATGTTTCCTGGATGTTGCCAGTTGGAAACCCAACCTACAGTGCCTAGCACCTGGAATAGAAACACCGAAAACATGGCAGGCTTCTTATCCCTACTAAATAACGGGTGGTGCAAGGAACCCAACACCTGAATGCAAATTTGGAGTGCAAGGAAGGTCAGTGCTGAGGGAAATAAATTCTGGGCTACGTTCTGCTTTGTACTGATGAGCAGTGGGTGTCAAGTAGGAAACAAACTGTTTGGGATTAATTGACACTAGTAAAAGAAACTTCTCTGACTGCAGTGGAGATGTAAACATCTAGAGTTGTTGTCCTCTTGAGTTATTGCCCCTCAGTGCAGTTACACCTTCAATTACATTGAAATATATTGACATTAATAGCTGCAGAAAGTAGATAACAATTATCCTTGGTTAAAGCCAGCTGAAATTTATAACCTTGCCCTCCTGTTATTCTCACAGGTTTCACAGCTCTGAGGCATTTCTAAGGGAAGTAGAGAATTGAGTCTTCGCCTTTTTTTTTTTCTGCTTTACAGAATCCCAGAATTCTAGGGGTTGGAAGGGACCTGTAGATATCATCATCCCTCTCTGGGCAGCCCGTTCCAGTGATCCCCTCTGAGCCATCTCTTCCCCAGGCTGAACAGTCTCAGGTCCCTCAGCCTTTCATCACAAGGGAGATGCTCCCCATCACCCTGCACTGGACTCCTCCTGGGAGATCCCTGTCTTGAATCAGGGAACCCAGCCACAGTATTCTGGATATGGACTCACTAGAGCAGAGTAGAGGGAGGATTGCCTCACTTGGCCTTCTGGCCACATTCTGTTTAATGCACATCAGGGTACCACTGGCTTTCTTAGCCACCAGGGCACACTGCTGGCTCACCCTGCTGTTTCCTTGTTGGGCCATCCTATTTCACACTTGCTTAGCTGTCTGTTCTGACCTGCAGTCTGTCTTGTTTGTCTGGCAAGTAGAAAGTCTTTGTCAGGAGTATCTTCTTCATGCCGGTTCCTTTCGAAAACTCCTTACTGACATTTCTGGGTCTGACAACAACAATAAACAAACTCCAGTGTGCGTGTCAGAAATAGGTGGGAAATGGTGCTTGATAGACTAGCTTTCTGCCTGTCTCTGTATTTCCATGTCAGATCTGTGGGGGAAAAAATAGGCTGTTAATAATTGCTGTCCCTTGTAGACTGATAATTAGGCACTCTTCCCACTTACTCCTGCTGTTACAGAACATACAAATATACCCATGTATGCTGTGTCACAGAGCATTTGAGAAAATTGTTTGAGAAAGAATGAAAGCTGAGAATCTAATCTTAATTTTATACAAAGACCTGGACCATGAAATCAGACAAACATGGATGAAACAAAGCTTCTACGAAACGTCTCTTTTAAAAAAATAATTGACTGCATGAATATCACGTTGGCATTGAGGTTTTAGAGATAACTCCCTGGAGGTGTTCAAGGCCAGGCTGGATGGGGCCCTGGGCAGCCTGGGCTGCTCTGAAATGTGGAGGTTGGTGGCCCTGCGTGTGGCAGGGGGTTGGAGCTTCGTGATCCTTGAGGTCCCTTCCAACCAGGACCGTTCTGTGATTCTGTGATATGTGTTGCTATGGATAAACTGATAATTTAACCTGATCTTTCCCAGTTTTAAGCAGATTAAAAATAGCCAGGCTCCAAAGGAAACATTTTCAATAACACCAAATGGATTTCAGAGTGTGAATCCATGTCTGCAAAATACTGGATGTCAGTTATCTTTTTGCTACAGGTGGGTGATACACGGCGTACCTTATCACCAGTGGAAATTGGCTGCCTCAGTTCCTTTTGAAATTGAACCTTTAGACCTCTGAAAATTCCTCCCCAATGGTCAGAAGTGTTCAAAGGCAGCAAGTTTCAACTGCAGGATTTGTGTCTAGTAATTTCCTGGATGACTGTATCACTGCAGCCCTTTGATACGTAATCTCAGCCTTAATGCACACATCAGCTTCACAAATTGCTTGGCCCCAGGTCTCCAGGGGAGGCAATTTTTGAAGGCAGCTGTTTCATTTCGCATGTTGTGCCTTGAATACTTACCCACTTGATGCAGAGACTGAATGGAAGACAGCATTAGAAAAGACTGTGTTTCCCACTCCATCCCTCATAAACCATGTAGTAATAGAAAATTGCATACAATTTGTAGCAGGGAGCTTTTCAGAATAACTCCCGCAGCTCAATCTCACATAGTCCAACAGTGAACTGTAGGAATACATCTACATTATGTCCTTCTTTTTTTTTTTCCTTTATTTTTTTTTTGCCCTTAGAGAAAGTTCGGTGTACCCAACACTTGTGTGGGTGTTGTAAAAGTCATGTCGCCCTGTAATAAAAAGCTCAATAAATAGGGTGTTATTTGGAGTTTCAAGAGCACAGCAGCTGCAACAGGGAGAGAGGGTTAATCTATACTGCTATAGAGTACTAGGGGAAGGAACGGATTTCACACACCAGTGTTTGAACACTTTATAATGGATTTTCTTAGTAATATTACAAGTGGAACCTTGGGAGCCTGTACTGCCGTTCCACCAGTGAAGTACCAGCAGTGGTGACTGATATTTTGCATTAAGCTGTGGTGCCAATTGCAGAGCTAGTCCAAAATGACAGAGTTAATCTACTGCTCTTTCTGGATGCTGTTCTAAGGCAAGTAACAGATGAGGTTCACTGAGTGGGAGGAGAGAAAGAACATAAGATGCTCTTCGAATAAGAAAAATTGCAATACCAGTAATCGGGAGAAGGGCAAGCAGGGCTGGCGCAAGCTCCCTTGACTCTGCAGGCATAATGAGAGTGGGAAGGGATTTTATTCATTTCTCTCTCAATCAGAAGTTGAGAAGACAAGGTGCTGCTGTGAAAACATTACCCAGAGGGTCGTGCAGACAAGGTCACTTTCACTTTCCTTCATCAGAGCCAGAGAAAAGAGAAGGAGTTTTTGTTTCTTTGGCCCCCCCCCCCCCCAAGCTCACATGCACAAATATTGCTTCAGCTAGCAGGGAATTGCCTGCAAAGGCCTTTTTTAAAAATAAACCAACTCTGCTCATTTCTCTATGATTCTGCCATAAAATTCTGTGTGAAATTGCTGTGACCTAGTGAGTCTTCGGCAGTGCGATGCTGGCTCTGGGAGCCCTTCTGTTGCAGCTGTATTCTAATTGTGTTGATGGATGACTGAGGCTGTTTTGTAGCAGTGACAGAACAGTGTGCCTTGTTGGTGTTAATGCTCAGTGCTCTAACAAATGCCCTGTTCTTCTGTGTTTGTGCTGCATGTTTCGAGGATGGCCCTCTGCATTCTGTTCTTCGCCTGCTCCTTTCAGAGAAGAGATAGGACCCAACCTTACACTGCATGGTAGCCCAGCCCTTATCTTTCCTTTGCAAAGATCATATGTAGCACTGTAAAATAAAAGGGAACAGAGCCGAAAGCATTTGAAATCTGAATAAATTCCCAGATAGATGTAAAAGCTTTTTATCAGAATTTTGAAAGGTGCTTTGTTTGAAAATCACAATCATCTCAGCCAGTTATTGTTTGAAACACGTGTGTTCTACTTTGGTGCAAAAATAAGAACCAGGCTTTGAGTTCACCAGGTAATTGGCTTCAGTACTCTACAGCAATGGTCAATCCAACAGGAAAATCTCAGTCCAACCTTGTTTTCCAGAGGCAACCACAGCTGCACTGACTCCAGTGAAATCAACATTCCTAACACTGGTGGTGTGATTCCTGTAGGTGACTCTTGTGTGTTCTGCAATAGGGATCTGGAAAGGCACGTGGCAGGGTGTGCTTTTCCCACGTACAACTGTGGGTCCGCTTATAAAAGGAGTCTTCCTGAAATGAAGAAAGCTTATTTATTCCTCAGTACAGCAGATAATTCACTATAATTCACTAACTTCTCTGACTCGAAGTCTCATCTACCAGTAGCTATTTAGTGTGATAATGGCGTTTGATAGATTGGACACAAACACCATTGTCACACTCCACAGCTCTGGCAGCAGATGGTTAGCCTGTGGTAGTAGAAGTAAAGGCACACAGCATGGAGGCTTTGGAGATCTGCAAAACACAGAAAAAGACCACGTGTGTGTGATACTTAATATGTAGCACCTCAGTGTTCTCACGGAGCATGAGAAATAGGACTCAGCGTCTTTGTGTCAAGTAGCTGCAGTGATCTAAAAGATAAGTATCTAAAAGATAAGTAGCTTTAAGTGTGCTTTTATAGGCAAAGGAAATGGACAGGAGCCTCGAGGAAGTCATTGGTCTGGTCTTAAAGGACTTTGGAGGGAGGGAGGAATCATCCTCCGCAGGGACTGGTGCCTTTCTTACTGATGGACTCAACTCAGTAAGTGCTTTTCTTGTATAGAGTTTTGTTAGATCATAAAGTCAGTGTTTGTTTCCCATATGCATGTCTTTGCCAGCACCTTACAGCCACCTCGCTTAGAAGGCAGCAAGGTGGTCTTTGCTTTTCCTCCTCATTCATATCCAACAGTGAAGTAAGCAGTGTTAGTGAGGTACACAACTACTGTTTCCTCTTAAAGAACAATTTCTTTGTTTGTTTGACAGGACAGAGTGCTTTTCCATATTTAACCTGCAAATCAGGTAACATTTCTCTATATCATGCCTATTCATGAGGACTGGTCTAAGAGTACAAAACGCTTCCTGAGGATCACCTTATGCACAGTGATTTGCTAAACCAGTTCAGCTGTGTGTCACCAGCTCATCTGAATATTGCAAAGATTCTGAATATGCAAACATTCCGAAGAGGAAATAGAGAAAGAAGAGCACGGGGAAGGAAGCAGATTAGAAAATAGAGCCTCGATAGCCCTTGTACCTTGCTCTTCTCTGCATCCACTTTCTCCTCAGTCTATAAAACATGTCACCTAGTGTGATGTCTCTGCAGGAACATTTTGGGTACTAACTGGAAGAAACAGTGACCTATGCAGATAGAAAGTAGCTTTGTGAGCATGCAAGCTGGGTAGTGAATGTTCATCAGTGTCTGTGGTAACTCACTCCCCTGGTACTGTGTGATTCTCACGCAGCAACATCCTTAGCACCTCTGCTTTATCCCCAGAACCATGTTGGCACTCCCATCACACCTTCCAGCCGAGAAACGAAAGGGAGAGGTACACACCTCTATCACTGACTCCTCTTTAAAATCTGAATACTTGACAGAACTGAGTCATGTTGTCTGAATGCAGTACAGCTGTGAAGGAAAATCACATTTCTGTCCTTGTTCAGAGCAAGCGGTCACTGATCTAAATACCAGCTTCTGGAAGAAGGAGGAAAGGAATTCCCTAGTGTGAATCAGGGCATGCTGAAGCTGGTGAGAAGTGCAGGTCCTTCTCTCAAAAGAAGAGGTTGTGTATGGGCAGCTACCACCACTGAAACACTGGAGCTGGCTGGGGGGAGGACAAGGCTCTGAAGGAAAAGGTTCAGCACGAGAACCTGCTCTCCAGATGGAGTACAGATTGAGGGCTGCCACAGGAACAGCAGCCCTGGTTTCAGAAAGTAATATGGAGTGCAGCAGCAAATGGTGGAGTTAATGGCCTGGGGGCTTCCAAACGCTGATTTCCATATGCAGATGTTCAGATAGGGAAGCTTAGCTTGCTCCATTCTACAGCAATCAGCAGAGGAGAGATGCACAAACTGTCCTGCTGCCCACATGGATTGAACACACCTGAACCACCAGCACACCCTTCACAGTGTAACAAGTATTTTTTCTGCAATCCTAACCTTTGGATGCAACTTTTTGTTGTTTGTTTTGTTTTTCTTTCTTTTTTTCTTTCTTTTTTTTTTTTTTTCTGGAAACTTTCTCATGAACACAATCTATTTCAACCTGTGTGGATCTGCCCATGCAGACTGACAGTCTGCGGAGCTCTGGACCAGCTTCACCACTGATTTACAAATGCATATAATTGAACCGATGAATAAGTGTGACTTGGCAGCACGAGCTGAGTTCTGAGCAGCCTGTGGCTGGCAAATAGCAAAGCTATGAGTGGCTGTGAGCTGCTTACCGTGTCAGATTGCTTTGGGTTTTGAGCACGATTATTACAACTGCTCTGCTATGCCCACTCTTGCAAGGAAGTATGCCTGCAGATGCTTGAGCAGGCCTGAGACTTATCCAGGTGCTTTTCACCTTGTGCTGACTTTAAGTCTCCACGTGCAGAGGGGGAAATGCACACACAGAGTGGTGGGGTGGTTGCAGACTCAGCCACACGTTGTGCCACCAGGAAATCACAGCTACAGAGGAGCCACATCCAAAGGAAAGGAAAGGGCCTGAGCACATCCCATGTGTCAGAACGGCACTGAGTGCTTTGAATTAATGATGGGAAATGCACAGTTACACCCAGAACACTTGATATCCAGTCAGGGTGCTGCTTGCATTTGCATACTTGAGGTCTGTGAGGATATTTTTGATGAATGTGTCTCCGCTTTAGCTACTGATAGTTGGAATCAATGCCAAGGGGATATACAGATACTGTACATTTCTCCCTAATTCATCATGGTAGCAGTGGTCTTCCCCCACCTTTACCAATACACATTTTACTCAGAATTAAATCTGTATCAGAGAAGAAAGGTAAAAAAAATTCTACTCCATTTAAGCCCTCCAACCTAAAGTGAGTCAGATCTGGCATATCCGGAGCCACACGAAGCAAGGCTCTGGCAGAGGCACCTCAGGGCTTTGCTGCAAAATACAGATGGCAGCCAGATAAAGAATGCAACTGCAGCAAGCAGCTTCATAGTTCCACAGCTACATAGAAAAGGGAATATTTCCAAGAATAAAAGGTAGCGAAAGAAAGAAACATGGCAGCTTTCAGTATTGCAATGGAGAGAGAAAACCAAAGCAACAAAGGAGCAGCAGGACGGGGAGAAAGAGAACACACATTGTCACAGAAAAAAATTCTCCTTTTTGCTTCTCTTCTGTTATCAGAATGTTTGAGCGACGAAGAAAATTGCAAGCGTGAGAATTTTTCAAGAAGCATAGCAGCGTGGGTCACAACATCTGTCCTTTTCATACCTTCAGGCTTGGAAGCATCCCTGCAAGCTGTGAAGCCTGGCTACGTTTACTACCAGCTGTGTTTAATTCCTAAGCCAACCTAATCCCTTTAATAGAAAGTGTAGGCTGAGATCACTGTGTCCACGGCATTAAATCTGGCTAAATCAAATAGGCCATTTGCAGATCATGTGTTATTCCAAAGTGCTGCCTATTCGAAAGACACACGCACTACACTCTTTCTGTTAGTCCATTTCATCACTCCTTTCCCTCACGTGAATCGAGCATGGGAAGGCACTTACCGTCGCAGACAGGGGTCCTGTGTTGTGCCATTGGGATCTGTCAGAACTCAGGTGCTGCTGTGTGACGTGTTGCTGAGTATCACTGTGCCCGGGTGGCTTTCTTTTACGAGATCACAGCAGTGGCCAGCTGTTCAAGGCCTCTGTTTCCAGGGGACACCTTTGCCTTGCCCTTTATGGGATCCTGAGGTTTTAAAGTAAACAATTTGTTCTCTTTCTGATAAGTCATATTAAAATATTGATCTGGGGGGTGGGGGATGGCTGTCACTGCACAGAGCCAGGATCACCTTTATTCAAAAGGAGTAAGGAATGGGGGAAAAAACACTGAAAGCTCCCTTTTCTCTCCTTTTTTAATGTGGGCTTCATTTTCCAGCGTCCCTATGACCTGGGAAAAAAGCTTGACTTCAGCTAGGAGCAGTGATGGCTAAATCAGGAATTACACACAGGCTTCAGGACCTCATCCAGATAATCAGCAGCCAGACCACTGCATAAACCTCCAAATTCAAGGTGTTTTTAATTGCATATTTTTGGTGTAGGCTATTATGGGATCTGAACCTGAACGTAAGCTGGGGTCCAATTTTCAGTACAGTAACCTTCCTGAGAGTTAACCAGCTGGTGCTTCACTGCTAGTGTTGACTGACATGCTTCTATTCCACTAGAATATAAATATTTTGTAGCAGACTTGGGGAACATTGATATTGGAAAGAAAATATTGGAATTATCAATACAACGCCTCACATAAGCAAAGAATCAGGTGGCTTTACTTATTTTGGATGGATGTGTCCATTTGGCAGGTGAAAAACACTGGAACATCAGATGTGGAAGGCAGTCGTTACCTTGCGTTCTTCTTACATTAAAGCTCTAGTCGCTGGCAGACCTCAAACAGAGCACACATACATTTTCTGTCCTTCTTAAGGACCTCACCACTGCCAGAATAAGACGAAACCATTCAGTGCGTATGAACTCCAGGAATCAGAGCTCTCTTTCCATGAATACTTACCACTGCCTTTATAGTTCAAGAATAATTTTTTTCCCTTACGAAGGACTGCAGAATCTATCATAATTAGGGCATTGTGGCGACGTGTTTCTCTAACCTTAGTTGTAAAAGCAATGTTGTTACTTATTGCGTATGATATAACAGCATTGCTGTACCATTTCCAGTTTTGTTGAAGATTTTAATTAACAGCAAGCACAAGTGAATAATGTGACAGGTGACAGGTAGTAGGAAAGTGAAGAGTGAATGAGACCAGAGAAGAAAGCATGTGCTTCATCCTCAATGTCAGGGTGTTGGAGAAGGGTACTGAATTAAGAGTTTGGTAAGAACACACTCATAGACTGCTTGTTTTTAGTGAAAAATGTCTCACCTGGGATAAATACAAAGAATTGGAATTAATGGTGGCAGCAGCAGCAGTAGTAGTGGTGGTAGTTCATGGTCTGTTCAAATAGTAAAACAGGGTATGGGGAAAATACTTATTTAGAAATTACTGCAAACAGCACGTGTCGTTCTCAAAATGCAGAGATGCATCTACATGAGGTCTGTCAATATGCTTGTTGAAAACAAGAGAGCAAGAACACCTTCACGAAAAGCAAAACAGAATGCCACGTGTTCTCCAAACACAGCAGAGAAACCCCAGCATGTCCTGGGATTTAGTCACAGGGAAACAACACTTGCTCAGTGTTTCTGGGGTTGTGCTTCTGAATAGAAGCTCTTCTTGAAATGGTAACCTGCCATTGTAAGAGAAGAACAGCCCACTGCATGCAGAGCCACTGCTAAGAATCTGAAGCAGCACTGCAGCATTCATTAGTGTTGCAGTCCGGTTTTAGTCCAATTCTTTGTAATTAAACGCCAAATTATTTGGAAATTCCTGAAAAAAAACAAATAAACAAAAAAACAAACCAAACCAAAAAACCTGCTTTGTTCAAATGTCAGCAAAGGGGACGCAAGGACAAACAGTGCAACACACACTGCGCGTTCATCCGAGGGCCAAATTCTTGCCTTGAAAATACGTAGGGATGACCCGAATCAAAACTATCGTTGAATTTCAATCTGACTTCGAAGGTGGCATAGCTCAGAGCAGAGAAGTGGGCCCTGTGACCCCCCAGCGTCCTTTCCAACCTAAAGGTCTGTGATGACTCTGTTTTATGTTGCAGCTGCTGTTGATTTGTGTGCCACTGTGCGAACACTGAGATTTGGCCCATCCAAGGGCTCTTTCCTGTCACCTGTCTCATATAAGATACAGAGGATGTAAAGTGCAAAATCAAACTCTGAGGAATGTAACCATTTCCACACAGAAAGAGGGAAAGAACCCCCAAATTGAAGGAATGATAATGCAGAGGTGTGTGGGTTGCTCTGAAAGTAGTGCCTCCTACTTATTTACAGAGAAACAACAACAGACACAAAGAGCACAGTAACACTATTTGATGGAGCAAATTCTTAACTACAAAGCAGTATTTTTCACCATAGTCACCACCATTAGGCAATTCACATGGATGAGATGACCAAGATGCTCTTTATTTCATGGTGTGACAGCCGTATGTGGCTGTCCAGAATATGGCTTGCCTTTCATGTTGCTGTTGCCACTGTTGTGAACCAACATAAGAACATAGGAGGCATTACTTTTGGAGCAGCCCTTCCATAAACAGGGCTTTCCATTCTGGCAAGTTTTTTCATGCTGGAAAGTTTTAACAAACAGTAAGAAACTGTTTAAAAATATGTTTTGAAGCTTTATCTCAAACTGGAGACCTTCAAATCTGAATTCCTTTACGTATCCTGAAAGGAGCTCCCCTGATTCTGCTTCTGTTCTTTTTATGCTACGCTCAAAGTCAGGATAGTATAAAATTTCCATGAGGAAAAAAAAAATAGCAACAAGAAGGGCCATGCTGTGCAAGAGGAAGTGAGAGCTTTCTCTTCCCTGCTGGGATGTCCAAACACTTCATGCTATGCAGCTTACTTGACAAAAGCCTCAGGACAATGCTGCAGTTCTGAGCGATGGACAACTGGGCCTTTGGAGGGGAAGGGCCTTAATGTGAGAGATTCTGACCTGAAAAACACGATGCTGTGAAATGTAGAGGTGTAAGAGGGTACTGCAGAGGGACCAGCCCAAAGAGAATCCCATTTTGCAGTCTTGTGGAACAGATATGCAGAAATTCTCTTTCCTTGGACTCCAGCCTCAGAACATAACTATTGCAATGAAGATTATTCACACGTGAGAATTTGAGCTGTGTCTGTACAGATCTTCACCCCAGTTCTATCTTTAACAAGCATAGAATCAATACTCACAGTTTTATGCTGACGTAGAGTTGGCTAATCTACCTGTAGAGAACCTCCCCAGTTTCCAGGTGTGGGCATAGCTTGGTTTAAAACACTCAGACTAATCACAGTCCAACTTTTAGATCAGACGCTTTGATGTGTGAAGATGTTGAAAACTGACCTGTATTGAGTTATGTCTGAATCTTCCCTTTGGTGTAAGCTATTCACTTCACCATAGCTATGCTGATCTTCGTCTCTTTTGGATATGACCATATATAAACATTGCTACAGGAATTCTTGATTTGAAAGTGGGCAACAACGGTGTTTGTTTATCTTTCTAACAGAAATTCTTACAGTATTCAAGGGGCAACAAACTTCATGAACGTTTAAGGACATTTGCTTTACCAGCATCACCACTGTGGTACAAAAGACAAGAAGTGAAGTGCATGTAGTGCTAGGGCAACTTATATCGCAGCAGTGAAAATGACATGACCTTTCTTAGTCAATGGTAAGGGTTAAAGATTACCTGTTCTGGTCATTCTGACTACTAGAAAGATTAACTTAAAGCAGTATAAAGTAGAGCAAAGGTATTTAACCTGGAAGCCGTGATCTCTCCTGATTACTTCTCAGGCTCAGTAAACGAAATTGATTTGAATTTCCCAATCATCAAATTCATTTCATCAGTTCTGGATCATCCTGGCATTCCCCGTTAAATCTGACAGGTCAGGCATGAATACATAAGGCTAAGGATTCTCTTCAGGTTAAAGGTGTAAAGCCTGAATGTACTGTCCTTAAAATCTGTCTGCTTCCTGAGCAAAATGGCTGTGGATAGAATTAAAATAATCTCTGTGCGTGCAGATCCTCTCTCCCTTCCTGGATGGCACAGGAGGTCCATAGGCTTCCCTCTCTACATCTTTTCTGAACTGGGGTATCAGTTCATTGTCCTGCTATATGATTTCTTTTGCTCTGCCAGTCCTTAACTGTATAGAATTTAGTCACCGTGCCATGAGGTTTTCCACTCCTTGTACCACCCCTTTCAGATACACTGGATGCAGAAAGTTTAACCTTAGATCTGTAAGTGATAGAGACATAGAATCATAGAATGGCCTGGGTTGAGAAAGACCACAGTGCTCATCCAGTTAGAACCCCCTGCTATGTTCAAGGTTGCCAACCAGCAGAGCAGGCTGTCGAGAATCACATCCAGCCTGGCCCTGAATGCCTGCAGGGATGGGGCATCCACAGCCTCCTTGGGCAAAGTATGAGATAATTATTTCAGAACTACAGCTCTAAGTCACTTAGGAGTCCAAATCCCAGGAGTAGTTAATCTTCAGGACTTGACAGAATAAGCCAAACTTTTGCTCAGCCAATGCCACCTACATAAAAAGGAGGCAAAGAAACAAAAAGGAAATAGACAACGAATACAAAAAGATGAAAACATGGCTCGTTCCAGCTCCTCTGCTCTTAACTGCTATTTGCTCAAACTTTTCCACAAGTGGTGAAGTTCATTCTGGGTGTGAATGCTTACAATGTGCTGTGCTTCAGGTGAAACTTTTCTGCTAGTACATTTTGAAAGAATTTGGCGTGGGCTTTCACGTAATCTTTCTTCTTTTTGTCTTTCTATAAAGGACAATTTCGGGCTTAGAAGGTTTGGGCTAAAAAATCAGGAAAACAATGATTTGGTATTTCTGTGTTGAAAAGACGACCAGTTCTTGTGCCGTCAGTTTGGCCACGTTGATGATGATGGGAAAAAGAATTCCTTTTGTGTAGGGCTGTGCACAAGGAGTGCACTGAGCCAAGGGGTGGCCAGGAAAAGGACACTGAATACAGCTTAGGAGTTGCTTTTTTCTCTCTTATTTTTTCATACAATCACAGAATGGCCAGGGTTGGGAGGGACCTCAAGGATCACAAATCTCCAACCCCCTGCCACACGCAGGGCCACCAACCTCCACATTTCAGAGCAGCCCAGGCTGCCCAGGGCCCCATCCAACCTGGCCTTGAGCACCTCCAGGGATGGACGGGGCATCACAGCCTCTCTGGGCAGCTGTTCCAGCACCTCACCACTCTCATAGCAAAGAACTTCCCCCTGACATCCAACTGAAATCTTCCCTCCCTCAACTTCAAACCATTTCCCTTCGTCCTGCTCTTATTTACCCTTGTTCCTCTCTATCTGTCCTAATTAGTAATATCAATGCTTTGAAGACAAAAAGTCTTTTGATTTTTGACAAAATCAAGAAGTCTTGATCATTTGACATGAAAACTGCAGACAGCTCACTAGCTAAATGCAAACATTCCATGAACATCATATTTAGTCTTACTGCACAGTAGTGATCCTTCAGGTTACAAATTCATTTACTGTCCCATGCAGCAAGAAGTTGAGTCTCACATGGCTGTTCTAGGCCTAGCTGTCATAACTCCACTGAACAGCTGTCGCAAAGTCCTGTTTTCAGGACCACAGGTAAATAATCCATGTTTCTTTTTGCTTGTTTGTCTCTTCGGGTAGTTGCATTCCTGTTGGAGTACGTCTGCAGGGGAGGATACAGGAGTTCTGGGTGCAGCTGATTCTGATTGCTCAGATGAGTGAAGGTGATGAGAGTCAGGCATCACGACTCTCTTTGTGTGCTAAGAGATTTCTACTGAGGAAATAGGACTAACGCTCATCCTGTGAAAAGAATTGAAGAGCTTTTGGAAGAAAAGAAGTAGGTTGTATTTGTAAGTGGTAACTGCTGTGGGAAGGATGTTCTTTTGGAAAGCAAAAGCTGGTTTTCAGTTTGAAACCTATTATGAATCCGCTGGCTGTTGAAAATAGATTTATGAGTTATACACTTGTTGGGACAAAGTGAAAATGAGTAAGTCTTCAATATTAGCCAGCGTGAGAGTGGCTCAGAGACCCTTCTGTAAGCCTCAGTTCTTGGATCCAAGGTGGATAGGTCTTCAGAGCACTCAGTGTTAACTGGAGGTTATATAGTGCACTGAGTATGAAATAGTGACAGCATTAGACTACCTGAAACTGCTCTTCTGGACTGACTCAGGTCGAGGAAGCTTGCAGTTGGTGAGACAGGAAAGACTTGTTCTAGGCTTCTAATCTTCAATTGTAATGTGAACGCTCAGTAGTGCCAGTACTCAGCAATTACAATTGCAGGAGTTATTGTTCCCTTGCCATGCATCAGATTTGATGCTGCTTATAGAATGGACATACGTGGGTAGAAAGATGGGTAGAAAATGAGCTGGATTTGAGGTAAATTGCCATAAAACTTGCTTCCCTTCATCTTAATGCCTGGAAATATACATAAAATTGCTGAGGGTGGAAAAATAAGTAAGTGTGATGTGAACTGAATCAGAGTTGGTCTTACATTGCCTGGGCAGTGAGATAGGCTGGGTGCTGCACCTTGGACATTTCTTGTGGTTAATACTGCAGGAAGGCTTTCCTAGCAAGGCTATTCAGGGCAGAATAGTGCAACTTTCTTGAGTTCAGCTCCTGGCAATCTGTGTGTTTGCAGTCCACTAACAAAGCAGCCTGCAGTGGAGCTCCCAAAGCAATTGGTTGAGGTGCAATTCCAAAGCCAGTGTTGACCAGCGAGGCTTAGACATTTATATCCCAGCAATGCACAAGGTCCAGGAGGCCTGGGCTTTGCTAAGGACCCATCTGGCCTTTTTGCCATCATTTGCAGCATGTGTACTTAGCTGTTCTTGAAACAGGAACACTGACCTGGAGCCTCATTAGTTGAGTGAGTTGAGTAGCTGAGTAGTTGAGTAGTTGAGTAGTTGAGTAGTTGAGTAGTTGAGTAGTTGAGTAGTTGAGACGACAAGTGGTCGTCTCTGCTGTTAGTGAGTCCTCCTTGCCTGGAAACCTCTCACTGATGTGTTACAGGACAGCTGTAGAGTTTTAGACCTCCATGCAGGCATCAAGGCTTTCTCTGTGTGAAAGCAGTCTGGCTTGTGGTGAAGCTGAAGAGGCTGGATTCAGATGGGTTTTGTGGAGGAGCTCCTACAGCCTGTATGGAGTTTTGAGGACCGCTACTTAAGGGTGCATATCTCTGAACCAGGAGACTGAGTTTGTCACTCTCTGGCATGGATTGAGGACAAACAACAGATGTGTCCTGCTGTGGAGTGTGCTGTGTCCTCTGTCGTGCAAGGGACGGCTCTGTCACAAATGCCTACAACGAATTGTTCTGAAGAACCACGTCTGGAGAGCAGAAAAGTTGGCATTTCAGACTCTGAAATAGTGAGAGGGAGGTGATGTCACTGAAGTGTTGCAGGATGTAAGGTGTGGATCGGTTATGTTACACCTAGAGCCTGACTGCATGTCAGATTTTTTATGGAGTAATGTGGTCAGATCTCGAAAGGGAAGCTGATTGTAAATAAATTACAAAGGTGCACATGAATGAAACACCGGAATACTTGCTGCCAACCCATCCAGCCCCCTGGAAGGGGTTGGCTGCCCAGGAAGGTGGTGGGTCGCCGTCCTTGGAGGCGTTCAAGGAACGTTCAGATGTTGTACTGAGGGATGTGATTTGGTGGTCAGTGTTGGTGATAGGTGGGTGGTTGGATTGGAGGATCTTGGAGGTGCTTTCCAACCTCGGTGATTTTGTGATTCCATCATCTGTCCTGGGTTGAAATGGGTTTAATAAGGGAATATCTCAGGAAATAGTGGCTCTTTCCTGCCCCATGGACCATATTTAACTACAGTTCAGTACATGGGCCTTTTATACTGCAGTGGATGGCAGCTGTTAATGTTAATGCTTCTTGGTATCTTGCATATGAATTCTCTGTGGAGCCCTGCTACACCAGAGTCCAAAAAACAGCACCTTTTTTGAAAATTCCTTTTCAGTCTTTAATGGCTGTGCTTTTGCTGATGTTTGACAACATCCTACCCTGTCCCTCACTGGAAACATCTGCCATGAAAACGGAAACATGCAGTACTGTGGCCCTTCCCTGCATGTTTTCACAGACTCCATTGATGTGCTGTCTGCAAACGTAGGCTTGCTTTTGGAAGAGACAAGCTCCACGTGAAAACGAAAGGGTTTCTCACCTCTCCTTGGTGTGGGAGTGTGGTAGGCACTGGTTGATGTAGGACACCTGATTGATGTAAAGCTATTAGGAATTAAGTGCAGACAGTGGGAATGGGCTGCCTTTGCTGTTGCATAACAATTCGAATGGCCAGAACTTTGATTGCTGTGACTGCACTGGTTTGCCAGGTCATACAACATTGTGATCAGAATGCACTTAAAAGACAAATTAATTTATAACGCCTTCCTTTCCCCTCCCCTCCCCTCCCCTCCCCCAAACTGCTACATTTCTTAATAACTCATTTCTTTGGTCTCAGTGGTCTAAAGGGAAATGGGTTTGACAAGCAAAACGAGTTTGTAAAATCACAGAGGTAGGGGAATGGGGAAGAAAATTAGTTTGCAATAAACACCCACTTGAAATATTTATATATCAAAAAGAAAAAATGTATTTTTTGAAACTCAACTGAGTTGTGACAGTAATCTTTTCTTAAAGCAGAATTGTTCTATTATTGTTTGTACAGAGGCTGTATCTCGTATCCACAGCACAGCCCCCACAATGCAGTATGATTCTGCTCCTTGGCTGAGCCACTGATTCCATCTTGCTTTTGTTTTGCAGAACAAAATGCCTGCATCTAAGCTACAGTTTTCCTTAAGCTGCAAACTGTTTCAGGTACACTGAGTCTTAGAGGGCTCATCTTGAGCAGAAGCATCTTGAATTTTTTGGCTTTTATTTTAAAAGCTAAAGCTTTCCACTGGTGCAAAATGAAAGTACGTGTTCCACTCTTGTAATTTCCCTGTTGTACTGGAAATCAATTCAACACATGCAGTAGTTGTTTCAGTAATAACAATGGATAAAACTTTTGAATACAGAAGATAGACAGGTTTGAGTTTATATAAAGACCAAGGGGTTAGTCTTATGTTGAAATGGAGACTGGAACTCTGCAATTTGCAGTAATTTCAACACTCACTTTCATGGCTTATTCAGGGATTCAGAGATTGAGAAGCATAATCTGCAAGCAGAAAGAATACTTTTTTGATTTTATACTTGCAGAATACATTCTGTATGAAATGAAACTTGCAACTCACCTGCTGCTCCTAGAATACTCTTCAAAACTTGCTTTTCTTCTGAGGAAGTTTATTATGACTGG